TTTCATAAGTAGTGATTTTAGGTATAAGATGATAAACTTGCTAATAATTGATCGGAAAAAATTTCACACTCATATGTAGTGCTTCTAGGTATTAGAAGAAGATAAGCTTGCTAACACTTGAGCGGAGGAATTGAGCTGGAGATTTTCTCTCTTATATGTAGTCTTTTAGGTATTAGAACATAATTCTGCTAACGATTAAGCGAGATTACTCTCTCTCATATGTAGTTCTTTTAATTAAGTATAAGATAAGCCGGCAAACAATTGAGCGATATAATTTCATCTCTCAATTACTTTATCTCTCATATGTAGTTTTTTAAGGTATAAGAAGATAAACTTGCTAACAATCGAGCGTGATAACTTTCTCTCTCATATGTACTTCTTTTACGTATAATATGGAGATAAGTTTGCTAATAATTGATCGGGAGAATTTTCACACTCATGTGTAGTGCTTCTAGGTATTAGAAAAAGATAAGCTTGCTAACACTTCAACGAGAGAATTGAGTTGGAGATTTTCTCTCTTATATGTAGTCTTTTAGGTATTAGAAGAGAAGTCTGCTAATGATTGAACGAGATTACTTTCTCTCTCATATGTACTTCTTTTAATTAAGTATAAGATAAGTCACCTAACAATTGAGCGAAATAATATTCTCTCTCGTATGTAGTGTGTTTAGGTATAAGAAGATAAACTTGCTAACAATCGAGCGGGATAACTTTCTCTCGCATATGTAGTTCTTTTAAGTAAAAGATATTCTATCTAACAATTGAGCGAAAGAATTTTTTCTCGCATATGTAGTGCTTTTAGGTATAAGATAAGTCGTCCAACAATTGAACAGAAGAGTTTTCTCTCTCATATGTAGTATCTTTATGTATAAGAAGACAAGGATGCTAATAATTAAGCGGGGGAATTTCTCTCTCTCATATGTAGTGTTTTTAGATAGTACAGAAGATAGAAGACAAGCTTGCTAACAATTGAACGGGTAATTTCCTCTCTTATACGTAGTGCTTTTAGGGAAAAGAAGATAATCGAGCTAACAATTGAGCGAAAAAATTTTCTCTAATATGTAGTTCTTTACATATAAGATAAGTTATCTAACAATTAAGTAGAATAATTTTCTCTCATATATTAGCACTAATTTAACTAATGAGTAGGAAGTTCTTGTTTAACTAATATTGGTCAATTTTAATAGTTATTGTATTCACTTAAACTTCGTGTCACTCACTTATTGTACTCACTTTTTAAAAATAATATCTAATTTTAAAATTAATTTAATCATGAAAATTTATAAGCATGCAGCAAATTCTAATGAGTGGTATCAATAAATTGTTCCTAATATACTCTTCATTTAATATTTATTGTATGAGCTTATACTTTATAGGATTAGCTTATTGTACTTTTATTTTTCAAAAATGTAAAATCCTAAAAAGTTATTTTTATTTTAAGATTAATTAGATCATGAATATAAAATATGTATCAGCTGCTCTTTCTCGTGCGTATGCACCAGTACTATACTAGTTATTTCAATTTGTACAATTTGTACAAATGGAATTACTTATTTTTATTTCAATTTTTTTAATTTTGGCTAAAATATAAATTTTCTCTAAGAAGGGAAAATGACTTAATTTAACAAGAAAAAAACAATGGTAATCATATTTGTAAATTTTGTTTATATTTTACATGTAAAATATAACTACACTATCTTATTTGTTGTGTAAATTATTTTTAAATTGCACACAAAGTCAGTATAATGCTTTATAAAAAAACACTGTAGAGTATTTTACCGCTCTTTCTCATGTATTTGATATAGTACAATGAGATGTGAATTTTTTAAAAAATGTCCTACATGATACACTAACCATCAAACCAAACAATGTAATACATTACATTTCTACATTTTTCATTCAATTAAACAGGTACTTATCATCATACCAAATGAACTCGCAAACTATATTAATAGATATGGAGCGGCATCAAAGCCCTCTCTCGCTCTAAAATGATCTGATTTGAAGGTCATATTGCCTTCTTGCAATTGTGGCTTGTCACTAAGAGTTGGACGAATTGCAGGGAATAAGAGTAATTTTTGTTGTACATAAAATTTGTACACAACATGTTTACACCGATAGTTAACATATTATAATTGATTTTTAAAAATGAATTGTCTGTGTAGATATGTAACTAGGAGGTGTCTATACGATTTGTGTACTAACTATGTGCACAAATGTAATGTTCCGTGGAATAACCACGGGGATCCTCTACCCGACCAGGAGGGTCCTCGCGCATCCGATGGTCGAGCAGCGGCAAGGACGGCCTCGAGATAAAAGAAAGGGTGGACCCTCTGACAGAGGATCTCAATCCAAGATCTACGACCATTGAATTGTCGATGAGACGGTTGTCCTGAAGCAAGGCACTCTACCTTGCCCTAAAGCAAGGTAGAGGCTCCTGATCCTATACATACTTGTACATTTAGGTATTTAGCTTCTGTATTTGTTGTTGATTCAAAGAATGAGTTACACGGGAGATAAGAGCCCATAAATTTTGATCAAATCATAAGCATTTGGAAAAGTTTAAAAAGTTCACATATTACAGAATACAGATCTCCGATTTAAACAAACCTAATCACAACAAATACAGATCGATGATTAATATCAAAGCCAAAGTACAAACTACAAACCCGAAATTTACGATTTAATTTAATCAGGTTTGCTTGTTGCGATTATTGAAATTCATCGTCTCGAAGTACCGGATCGAGAGGAGTGAGAGCGACAGATTCATCTCGTCGTTTCCCCATCGTTTGTTCACGCCGGCGGATACGGTCGGAGCGACTTTGGGCGGCGGGGGCAGGCAAAGCCAGGTAGACGCCGGCGCAGACGGTGAGGGATGAGATGGTAGCTTGACGAGCGGCCAGAGATGAACCGAGTAGAGGCGGCGGAAGCCGCCTAGGGCGACGACCACGTGGCGGAGCTGCCGATGCTGTGGGTTGCGGGAGCGGTCCTTGACGCACATCACCTCCCACAGCCGCTCATCTTCCGCCGTCCGTTTCCACAGCTTGCTAACGCACGCCGCCCACGCTAGCGTACGCCCATCCAGGTGTTTCAGAACCTCGGACAGCAAATTCTCGTCCGAAAGAACGGATTCTACCGCGATCTTCGCTGCCGATGCACCCCCAGTCTCTGTCTCCCCCTCCACCGCCGTCTTAGTCTTCGGCTTCTTGGAATCGCTGATTCCGTCGGGATCGTTGCCGTCGATCCCGGAATCATGAGGTCGCTTCATCTGGAACAGAAATAAAGATCGGAAAAGTGCAAATCTGGGTGTTTTTAGAAAGCAAATCTGAGATTTGTTAATGAAAATTTCAACAATATAGAACTGATGAGGTTCCACAATTACACAGCATCACATGGAAATGGGCTGGCTTGGCTCTCTTTGGACAAAGGGAAGGGGGAAGTAATGAATGACAGTTTCGAAGTGGATGTCATAATTGACATAATTGTCCCTTTCGAGTATTTTTATTTCAATTGTTTTCACAACAAAACAAAACAAAACGTTACTGCCCGACTGAATCAAAAAAAAACGTTACTGCCCGACTGAATCAAATGTTCGTTGTTCAAGCAAGAAAACGGATGCGCTAACGCGCAACGTGCTGAACGAGCAAAGCGAGCTAATTTTATCCCCTTTTAATTTCAAATTGGTTTACAAATTTAACTTTTCTTGTTTAAATAGTTCCATCTTATTTTTTCAATTAGGATATCAATTTTTAGAAGCATTCTAATTTGGTGTTTGCAACTTTGAAGAGATTTTTATATAGTTTTTGAATACGTAAATTTTATTTATTAAAAATTGAGTTAGTTATCGATAGAAAGGATTGACTTTTATTATTGGTTGATAAAAAAATATTGACTTTAGAAAACAATTTGGGACGAATGAAGTACTACTTTCGTAATTAGGATCTCACACGAATTATATATTTGATTGACCATAAAGTTAATTGGTTCATGTTTGTAATTAGATTTTTTATTAAATAGATTTACGTATTCAAAAAAACATTATAAGGTTTATAAATAGTAAAAAAATACTCAAATTTAATAAAAATTGAATATATAAAGTAAAAGATTAAAAATATTTTGCGTTGACTAAAGAATAGTGAATGAGAACATTTGAATGGGACGGAAGTAGTATTGGAGAAGTATTCATATTTTTTTGAAAAAAAACAAAAAAGAAGTTGTATTTTATAAAAGGGGAGGAAATACTAGAATAGAAGTTACGAAAAAAAGTGATTTCGTACATTTTTTTATCGTGAAAATAGATGGCTTAAATTGATATCACAGCATATAGATAGGGGGTAAAGCGACAAAAGGACCACAAGCACTCAAACTAGACTTAGAGACAATCACCTTCAAAAAGCAGTATGACTCGCTTATCCTATATTAGGCGAATGAGCCAACGACGGTTAAAGCATACCTCTCATCACTCAATCTTAATGCAAGAGTTTTACAGCAATAAAAGTAATAAACAAAAAAATAAACAATCGAAAAAAATAAATAGCAAACAAACGGTAAAATTAAAATGTTCCTTCCAAACCCTATACTCTCCTGCACAACATGGCGGTAGTTCAGGAGGGGGCGATCCAACAGTACTGTAGTCGTTTCCTTGCCTTGCCTCTTGTTTTCATGTTCTCTATCAAGCCTCCTCCGTCATCACCTCTCATACATATGTTTAGTCACTGTGATATAAAGTTTTAACATAAAAATTGTTCGTTAAAATTATTAAATCACATTTTTACTCATTGTTCATATTTTAATATGGTCATATTTTAGGTAATATTTATTTTACATTTGGATGAAAAGTAGGGTAATATTTTAGGTAATTGTTTGTAAGCTCTGTAACAAAACTAGCCTACGAGTAAATTTTAATGGAAGTAGTAGGGGGCCTCGCCTAAGCAAGTGAAGTTGATGGCAGCGTGTGGTTTGATTTTGTGTGCTGACTCAAGCTTGCTGGCTTGTCATGGTAACTTTGAAGTATGTGGATCTCATATCAAGGCTAAATGTAGTTCCATAGATTTTGAAAAAGGAAAAATATAGCACATGGAGTATTACTTTGGGCAAAATGGTGAGAACGCCCAAGTAGATAACCATAACAAAAGGAAAACATACTCGGTACATGTTTGGAATAATAGCACACAAATTAAAAGCACTCAACCCAAAAAGGTAGAGTTGCTCATCCAGACACGCCTCACACCTAGGCCCGACATAAATGACATCTAGTCTAGAAATGGAAGGCAATTCGCTCGAGGCATGCACACGGCTTCTAGCGGCTTAGCCCTCTGTAGGATTGAGGCTGAGCGGCTTTCGCCTCTGTCATCTTTCTCCGCGCTGATTTCCCAATGAAAACACTGAACCAAACCTGCCAATGCTAACCCTACCGTTCTCAACCCCATATTGTTTCCAGGGCAGGCCCTTCGGCCCATCCCAAAGGGAACATATTTATAGTTGAAACCTTCCTTCTCCTCCGCTACTTCTCTGAATCTCTCAGGCATGAACTTTTCGGGCTCCTCCCACACTGTTGGATCCCGATGCATGCCCCAAACATTTACCAATAAGATTGTGTTCTTGGGAACGTCGTATCCCGCAACCACACAATCTTCGGTTGAGCAATGTGGTAAGAGAAGTGGCGCTGGAGGGTACAACCTCAGTGTCTCCTTCACTACTCCTCGTAGATATGGGAGCTTGGGAATGTCCAACTCATTTACCAGACGTTGATCGGGTCCGATGTAGTTGTCTATCTCTGATTTCAACTTATGCATCGTCTCTGGATTAGCTAGTAGCAGCGACATTGCCCATTCTATGGTTGCTGAAGAAGTCTCTGTTCCTGCCACAAACATCATCTGACACATCAAAGAAGCATTGTTAGCATGTTAGGAATGAGCTTAATTAAGATAGTGAATTAATGATCATGCGTGATAATCATTCATAATTGAGAAACCTCGTTAGATAGAAGCTAAACATAGCACGTTCTCAAATAATACTATTTTTCCTAAATATGTAGTATATGACTCTTAACTTCAATATAAAGGAAGTTAAGAGTGAAGTCTTTAGTGTTTTATTGATCCTATGTACTCTGTTGACAATGAAACATAATTAGTACAACTTCCTCCATTTATAAGGTTGATCAGCAACAAAGTTAAATCTTCTTGCACATAATTAAATCTGCATTACTACTTAAAATTAACATATTTAAATATTACATTGAAAACTCTACAAAATCCAAAACCTAAAGAAACATTTTCAAATACGGAGTACATAGTTTAGCGTACATCGGACCCTCCCCTTACCCCAGCGAAAGAGAGAACTTTTACGGCACTCGGATAATATGTGCACAAAAAAGTACTTAAAGACTAATTCATATACAACCTTTGAACTAGGACTGGGTCCGGAAAACCGAAAACCGAAATCGAATCAAAAAATAACAGAACCGCAACAAAAAACAACCGAATCGAGAAAAAACCGAAACCGAAAGGGAAAACCGAACCGAACCATCTCTATTCGGTTTCGGTTTCGGTTTTGGCTCTCCAGAACCGAATCGAACCGAAAACCCGAAACATTAAAAAGTAAGTATTTTATTTTATTAACTTGGGCTTTTGTCCGACATTTGGCTCAATTAGTGGCTGAACAAGTTACGGTCTTCTAACTTTTACCCTAGGCAGACTTGAGCTTTGCACCTTAGAGGAGTTAGAGGCTTAGAGTATCTCGCAAATGCAGTTCACCTCTTGCGGCGGAGTTCTGAACTTCTTCTGATTTTCTTCTCGAATCTACGGTAGGAGAGATGAGCTCATGAGAAACTAAGGGTCTGTTTACTAACAGAGATATTTTCCAGTTTTCCAGAAAACTGGAAAACTAGAAAACAGAAAACAGGAAACATGTTTACCAAAGAAAATTGCTGGAAAACTAGAGAAAGGAAAACAGAAAAACGTGTTTACCAAACCGTTTTCTAAAACGAAATAAATAAGACATGTCTCTCTTTTCCTTAATGATTTGGAGAAGCGACTTTTACTAGTTTTCCAAAATTGGAAAATGCAGATGCTAGAGACCGCTGCAACGAATTTGCATACTTACCCTAGTGGTGGGTCCGGTCCTGCTCCGATGTCGATTCCATTCTAGTACCTCCATCCTCGTACCTTACCCCCTACCCCTACCCTACCCTACCCACCCCTACCCCGCATACTCCCCTTTCTCTACAATGATCCTACCCCCACCCCCTACCATATGCCCCTACCTCGGTCCCACCCCGTTCCACCCTACCACCTCAACCCCACCCTGACCCACCCTACCCTACCCCCACCTCGTATATTACTCCTTACCCCTACCTCACCCCTCCCCCCCCCCCCCCCCCACCCATACCTTCCTTCCCTACCTCGACCCCTACGAGTAGGTATGGGTGGGTATGAAGGGTTTTAAGGGAGTATGGGTAGAGTGTAAGATCGTGGTAAGGGTAGGGGTAGGGTTCAAGGGTGTGGAATTGGGTGTAGGGTGTAGGGTGGGGCCCGTGGGGGTACGAGGTATAGGGGCATGGTAGAGGTTGGGAGTATGGGTACACGTACGAGGTGATCGACCCCACATATTATATTATATATATAGTATTTGTGTTCATGAATGTTTGTGTGTCTATATATGTATAGAGTTATTTTGGAAATTTTAATGCTAAACGTGTTTTAAACCTTTTGAAGTAAACATGATCTTATAACATTGCTTATTTTATGTGTCGCTTATTAACGCGAGTCTTAATAAACACCATTTAGTAAATCATTAAGTAAACGTGTCAGTCTTCTGAATTATCACAGAACTGGGTAAAAAATTTATTAACATGTTTTCAAATTTGAAAATGAAAAACTAGAAAATAGAAAGAGAAAACTGGAGATAGAAAAACAGAAACATAAAAACTGAAAATTGAAGAACGAAAAACAGAAGTAGAAAATAGGAAAATATACGTGTTAGTAAACAGACCCTAGACTTCTTTTGTAGAGTTGTGGGTAGAATAATACATGACGAAACTAAAATCACATATCTCCCATATGTAGATAAGTGCCAGTTTTCACTTTTTCTCTCTTTGAAAAGCACACACCCATCCACAGAAAATGACAAATTCTGCAAATCCCAAACATTATCTTTTCCTATGCTATCTTTGTTAAGAATCCCTAGTTAATTTATTTCTTGCTCAATTTGGGATTGCTTACCCATACTCTTCTAAATTTAGAATATCTATTAGTGCATCCATTGCATTTTGTTAAGAAAAGTACACGTTATAGTTCGTTAGAGTGTTCTTTAATTTACTCCTTTTCCGTCTAGATTCACATGCTTCAGATTTGTATACCATCTTTAACACTCTAAAATTTTACTACCTCGTCTCTTAAAACTTTGCCAAAGTTGACCGGCACGAAAAATAATAAAGTAAAAATTGTGTGGTTGAGGTTTGTGCAGAGGAAAGAGAAATAACAGAAACCACAAAATAATTGATTAAAAGGGAAAGTAGCAAAGTTTTTTTGGGACGTCCCAAAAAGGAAAGATGACAAAGTTTTAAAGGACGGAGAGAGTACATTGTAAAACGTTCAAATTAAAAGTCATAGGAGCCGAGGCACCAATATATGGACTGCAGGGGTATACCAATACTAAAATATCAAAATGTAAAAACACAAAACCAAATACTTCCCCTTTAATTCTCCTTCGATACAGTTTTTCAAAGAAAGTGAAAATTGTGATATATTTTGTTTAGAGCATTTAGATTTTAGATAGGATAGATGAAAGATAATAAGAAACAAAAAAAGAAAAATGCTTGAGGTACACAAAGTGTAGATCATATAATAAAAGCCTAAAAAGAATCTCATTTCCCCTCTCCCCTTCTCTCTCTAGGCATGGACCGGTTCCGGGCCGGGCCGGGCTTCGGGCCGATCCAAACCGGGTTTTTTGTTGTGGGTTAAGGCTCGGAACCGTCCCGGGATTCTACCGGGCCCACGCCGGGTCTGGTCGAGTAATTTTTTTATTTCCTAATTACTTGCTAGCCCCCACCCCAACCCCACACCCAAAACCCTCCAAAACACACGGCCCAACCAATTTACCTCCCAAAGAATTTGAAAAACAAAAAGAAATTGGCCCGGGCCGGTACCAAAAAACCAGTGACCCGTGACCCGACCGAAAAACCCCGGTTCGGGCCTAGGCAACCGGGTCGGGCAGGTTCCAAACAGTGCCGGTTCGGGCCGGTCCGGGTCCATCCCTAGACTCTCTCCCTTCTCTCTTCCCCTCTCTCCCTTCTCGTTTTCCTCTTTATCCAATGCATTGGAAAATTGTCAAAAAAAATATGGGAGATCCTCTTCTCTTCTTCATCTTCCTCTCCCCTTCTTCATTCTCTTTTTCTCTACCTTTTTATATCAATTTTTTTCTATTATTTGCACAAAATCAGCTTATTTACCTTATTTCATCTATTTTTATTATTTTTCTAATTTTTTTGAATATGAATCTCAAGTCAAAAGCGAAGCCATATTTCGTTGCGCCAATCGATCGAAGTATGTGGCGGCTTGGGCTGCTTCACGAGTTGGAGACCTGGGAAGTCGATTTTCGTCTTCGTCGATGCCCTTCTTCCTCTTCGCATATGAGTTGCAGCACAGATTAATTACAAAAAAACGGTTGTACCGTGCGTACATATATGGTACATGGTACAACCGGATGTACCATGTAATTTGAGGGTAAAGAAACATTGATTAAATATATGAAGTAGGTTTAAGTCGAACATACATGAAACACGTGCAATTAAGAGTTGCACGATTGGGTGGAGTAAATGATATGGGTAGTTCACAGTTGAAATTAAGAATCCCTATTTTTATGAAGAATCCCTATTTTTATGAAGGAATTTTATCAATTCAGGACCCGAAAGATGGATGAATTATCAAATCGGGACCTAAAAGATGAGATTTATCGATATATTACCCGAATGATGGAAAACTATCAATCTAGGACCTAAAATTTCATAGGTTTTGATTTATTTAATTTTTTATTAATTCCATTGCTGATTTTTGATAAACTTTTCTTCACAAAAGTTTATTAGTTTCATAAAACTAAATACTGTATTATTTAAAAAAATTAAGATAAAAAAAATTAATAAAATTCCGGACAACTTAGGTCCTAAATTGATAATTTCCAATCATCCAAGTCCTCAATTGATATTTTTCCATCATTCGGGTCCTATATTGATACATTTCATCTTTCAGGTCCCGGATTGATAATTCATCTATCTTTCGGATCCTAAATTGATAAAATTCCTTTTATGAATTATATGGTAATAATTAATGTTCGTTTAATATTCTCAACAATTATTCTCACTTCTCTCTTTTCCACTCTTCTTCTTGGGGCAAATTCAAACTAAAACGCGTTTAATCTTAACACTAATTCCGCAATATGTGATTCTCTCTAGGTTGGAACATAAAAGTTTACCGAGACGAAGAATGATGAATGGGAAAGTGAAGACACGAGTTGAGAGTATTAAACGTGCGACATTAGTGTGAATTTACTCTAATTTATTCTTGTAGACACTATTACTAGTCCGGATTATTTTTAAAAACACTCTCGATTGAAATTATTATTGTGAACTTCACATAGATTATATTATGGTGTCATTAAGAATAATTTTCTTGGTAAGAATAGTTTTTTTTAAACATAATCTATGAAATATCGATGTATTATTTCTTCTTTTATTTCAAACCAAGAAAACAATTTGTATCAATTCCCAATGAAATATCGATGTATAAATACCGTAGTACTACGTATTAAGCAAATACTCATCATTCAATTAAAAAATATAGTCACAGACGTAGTATATACTTTTTGAAAATTTATTGAAGTGTATTCTTGATATATATACTTTGGTGCAAATTCTTATTCAAAATATGTGAATCAATTTGCGAGGGGAGACACTTTTTTGGGGGAAAAAAGGAGACACTTTTTTTAAGAAATGACAAATCTTTTTTGCAAGGGAGATCTCCCAAAATAGGAGTAAATGGAGTTTTAAATTATAAAATGGGATTATTATGTTTTTATTTCCGAGATATGACTAACATGAGAGTATTTACTGTCATCTTATAGACGTGACTGTCAGATAATTGTAGTATAGTGCATTTAATATAGATCGTATTAGTTATGATTAACGATAGTATTTTTTGTAAGAGTAACAGTATAGTACTCTTAAAGAATAGGGGAGACTAACCAGTATAGTACTCTTGATCACTTCATCGGTGTAAAATTCAGGCTCCGATTCTTGTAGAGATAACAGCGTTCCAATAACTGTTGATTTGTCGTCCCTGTTCTTCTCCCCACCGTCCGATTCCGAAAGCAGAGACCTCTTTTGTCTGAATTCTCCAAGCATCCCATTCAAGAACTCGTCTCTCTTCTTATGAAACATGACCAGCTTTTTCTCCATCCCTCTGAAACCAATTAACCTCAAAACCGGGAAGAAATCACACGAATTCATAACAGCTAAGCTCGCAAAGAAAACACCCCTGAGTTCTTTAATGATTTCTCTCCCTCTCACTCTCCCCACGTCTTCTTCCTCCACCCACCGTTTTCCGGCCACGAGTCTCATCATAGAGTTGAAAGTCAACGTCGCAGCCAAGCTGTTCAAGTCAACGGACGTTCTTCCGTTATGATTACCGGCCGAGAGGGTGCGCAAAGATCGAACCAGAGTTCGAACCTCTTCCTCCCTTATGACAGATGACCTTTGGAGGCTCGCCGTCGAAAACAATTCCACCACGGCGAACCGCCGTTGAACCCTCCAGAGGTTGCCGTACGGGGCGAACACGAAGGCGGTGTAGTTGTAAGTCAACCGGTCGCCGGCCATGGTCGCCGGCCGGTTCGCGAACACGATATCGTTCTTGGTGAAGCATTCTTCGATGGCGGAAGGGGACGACACGACCAGAACGGACCGGCAACCGAACCGGAGGAGTAAAACTGGGCCATATTTAGCTGATAAGGAAGCGAGGGAGTGGTGCAGAGCATCCCTGATAAGGTAGAGGTGACCGATTACCGGAAGAGAAAGTGGGCTAGGAGGCAGCAATTTTTTATTGCGTTTGGGAAGAAGTTTTCTGAGAAGAATGAGAAGATATGCTGCTATAACAGCAAGAAAGTAGTAGAAAAGTTTCTCCATGTTCAGAGAAGGAAAGAAATACGTAGTACTTCTGAGAAGTTTGAATACTTGGCAAAGTATGTATATCCGGAATAGTGGTGCATTAAAAGGGTCTTTTCTTCAAAAAGATATACACACACGATTTATTTTTTGTTTTCGTTTCTGTTTTGTGGTGGTTAAGGGTGTCACTCATTTCAATGCTAGGTAATTATATCAGTCCGGGTTCTTCACCAGAGCCCCCTCTGGCAGAGTTCATTTTTGGTTAAGAATTAATTTTAGGATGTTTGCTTTTGGAATGTAATTTGAATATGTGTTCTTCTCTGTTTTAAGTCAGGTATGGTCTGATCTGAAATAGTCGTGTCTGGTCTAGTAAATTATAGTGTTTATGTACAAATATTTTATAATTATGCAAGTCTGGTCTAGTCTGGTCTGTTTAAGTTTGATCAGATTTGGTCTAGTTTGTTTAAGTTTCGTCTAGGACTGAAAACAATCTAAAAAAAACATCCTTAGTAGTTAGGTAATCAAGTAAACTAAGTTTTCCTGTTTAATAAGTACGTACTAATCCCTTCGTATTCAAATAAGTGTCCTGAAAGGCTTTTTACGTAGTTTAAAATAATTATAGGTTTATTGTATACTTTTTTAAAAAAATAGGAGATTTTTATACTGCATCAGTGTTGTTTACTGTAATACAGTGTATTGTAGTTAATTTTGAATGAATTTATTTTCTAACATGGAAGTGAAACTCTATTTTGATACGATCAAAAAAGGAAAGTGAGCTAGTTATTGTGATACGGAGACTAGTATTATAAATGAACAAATAAGTTTAAAATCTTATATTCGCACAAATTTAAGATCTCAAACTAATAGTTAAGACCGATTAGTAATAAAATGTGGGTATGTCCCCGCAAAAAAATGTGGGTATGTCGGGAAATTCACAATATACGGAGGAGTACATATCTCTCTAGGGCTTGCGCCGCTAGAGCTGCGTTTTTTTTCGTTTTCGATTTTCTGATTGAAGAACGGCTTGCTTCTCGGCTTATGATTAGTAATCGAAATCGCAAAGCTGGTTTTGGGGATTTGGGGAAGGGTTTGAGCTTCGTTTGGGCTCAGTGCACTGGGCGCGTCTGGTTTAGCTTTCGGCCAAGAAGGAAAGAAGGGGAGGGCTTGGAATTTGCCGATGGATGAAATTGGATACAAGAAAATGGAGGATGTCGACGAGCATGATCCCGGTGGTCGGCGCCGTGATTGCGGACCGGAAGATCAGTCTTCCGGGGTTCCAAGTTCTGATGGCATTCGTTTGGCGCCCGGAGAAACCGCTTTGGTGCAACAACAATGATGAAGAAGAGGCGGCCGAGTTGGAGGAAATCCGCTTTGGTGTAACAACGATCGTTGCAAGGGCCCGATCTCCCCCAGAAGCACCACCAAGGGTTGATCGATGCATTTTGGAGTTTGCTTACTTATCTGTTATGCATTTTAATTTGCAAGTTAAGACGTTTGTGTTTTGTTGTTATTTTAGAAATTAGAAGATATGAATGTTACGACCAAAAAAAGAAGTGAGAAGATATGAATGTTATGAAGATACTAGTAGATACTCGTATAAAATAAAACCAACCATATATCATTTTATTTCAAGATGAAAATGAATAAATCGAAAAGAACCGGGCAATATTTAATGGGAAAAGGGAGTATAATTAATAGTGTACTACGGAGTAGTATATTGTACTAGTATAATTTTTGAGCCATTAATAGTGTACAACGTAACCCAGGAATGGTCAAAAACATTGTGGTCTTGCCCCTCTTAATTAGCATCGAAGGTAATGTGATCGTAACATTACTTGTGGGTCTGATCAGCCACTTGTATGAGTTGAACCGGTCCTCATCTGCCCCCTTGCCACCATACTTGATTCCATTATTTGCTATCCACAAATCTTGATTTGGATTTTTGTCACAGTTTCACGAATGGTAACAAATTACAACTTTCAAATGTCTACAAACTTTCATTAAAAAGTCAATGAAATCCTTCTATAGGAGACTTTGTCCGGTCGTCGCGATTTGGGGCGGTTCCTGATGGAATTTTTTGATGAAATTTTTTTAACATCTTATTCATCAAGTCTAGTTTACTCATACCAAATTTGAGATATAAATTTAATCGTGAGCGCATTCAAATTAATTCGAGAACGTAAAAATGCGCAGTTATTTTCAAGAATTAATTTGAATGTGTTCCCGATTGAATTTTTAGCTTAAATTTGGTATGAGTAAACTAGACTTGGTGAATAAGATGTTCAAAAAATTTCATCAAAAATTCCAGCGGGAACTGCCCCAAATTGCGACGGTCGGACAGAACCTCTTATAGAAGGACTTAATTGACCTTTTTATGAAAGTTCGAGGACCTATTTGACAGTTTTCCCTTGAGAAAAGTTTGTTTCCAACTACTACTCATATACTATCGTATAAACTAATTCAAAAATGGCATGTAGTTGAATCTAAATAGTAAAAATGTTGGAAAAATGGTTTTAGACATTAATATTATAGTCATTAATATTAGGGAGATTTCCCAAAATAGGAGTAAATGAAGTTTTAAATTCTAAAATAGGACTATTAGGGCCGCCTGTTTACTGACAGATATATTTTCCAATTTTTTTCAGAAAATTGGATAACTGGAAAACAGAAAACGTGTTTACCAAAACAAATTCTGGAAAACTGGAGAAAGGAAAACAGAAACTTGTGTTTACCAAATCGTTTTCCAAAACCAAAAAATGAGATATTTCTCTGTTTCCTTTAAAGAATTGGAGAAGTGGTTTTTACTAGTTTTCCAAATTTGGATAATGCGGATGTTGCAGTGCTGTTGCAATAAATTTGCATACTTACGCCTAGTGTTGGAACCAGTCCCGCTCCGGTGTTTGTTCCAATCCCATCCGGTCAACGACCCGACGGTCCCTATCTGGTCCGGTCAGCAACCTGACGGTCTGGTCATTGACCCGGTGGTTCATGTCCGGTCTGGTCTACGGCCGAGCAAACCCAGTTCTGTCTGATCGATAACCCGACGGTCCCGATCCAGTCGATGACCCGACGGTCTCGGGCCGGTCGAACCGGCGGTCCCTGTCCGGTCCACGACCCGATGGTCCCTATCCGGTTCGGTCCACGACCCGACGATCCCTGTCTATTCTGGTCCACGACCCGACGGTCCCTGTTCGGTCCGGTCGATGACCTGACGGTCCCTGTCATGTCCAATCCACGACCAGACGGTACTTGTTCAATTTGATCGACTGATGGGCAGTCCCGTTCGGATTCGGTCAAGTCAACGACTTGACAGTCCTCGTCTGGCTCGGTCAATGACCCGGCAGTCCTCATCCTATATGGCAAAGGACCCGACGGTCTATGTTTGATCCGATCGATAACCGGGCGCTCTCGGGCCAGTCCCGTAAACGACCCGTCGATCCCTGTCAGGGTCGGTCAATGACCCGACGGTTCAGTCTCGGTTTTTCGATATCATTTTTTAAAGTGAAGAGTTTTAAAAGAGTCATTGAGTTGTCAACCAATAGGGAAATGAGAAAAGAATTTATCAAACTAACTATTGAGATCGACCGGGACCATCCGATTTCGATCCCAACTTTCCTATATGTGGGACCCAGTACCCTACTTGGGTTGTACTAGGTTCGGTTCCGGACTGGGATCGTACTTTTAGTCTTTTGTTTAGTTAGAGAACCGGGTGAAAAAATTGTATGACCATGTTTTCATGTTTGAAAATGAAAAACTAAAAAGTGAAAACAAAAAATTGGATATTGAAAAACTGAAAAACGAAAACAGAAAATTGGAGAACGAAAAACGGAAATACAAAAACGGGAAAATATCTCTGTTAGTAAACATGCCCTTATGTTTTTATTCCCGAAATGGGACTAACATGGTAGTATTTACTGTCATCTTGTAGGCGTGACTGCGAAATAGTTGCAGTACAGTGCATTTAACATGACAGTATTTATTATAATTAATGACAATATTTTTCAATCATGGCAGTATTTTTCATACATGACAGTAATAACTCATATTTCGGGAAGAAAAACATACTAGTCCTAATTTGGAATTCCAAATCTCATTTGCTCCTATTTTGGGCAATTTCCCTTAATATTACTTCCTTCTTCCCATTAGACTTTGCCAACTTTCCATTGTTAGTTGTCCTAAAAAACTTTGCCACTTCCATATTAAAACAACTAATTTGTGGTTCTGCACATTTCTCTCTCCTCTGTACAAATTTCAACCATACATTTTTTACTATTCTTATTTCTCACCTACTTTGCACTTGGCAAAGTCCACCAGGACGGAGGGAATATTTGAAAAAAAAACATTTTGAAATGAATGAGAAATTGTTTCCCGAAAAATAAACGTGAAATTATATTTAACACACACACACCGCCGGCGTCAGTCGGTCGGATTCGGGTCTTTGACCAATCAACAATCGGGCTTAAGATAGGAAGATTTAATTTTTGCTCCTTGAATTTCAGATATTTTCCCATACGAAAAGTCTTGTTTGTTTGATAAAAGGTTCCCACCTTTTATTGAAGAGGTGTCTCTTGGATGTGTCTCATGTTGGGTGTGTTCTCGAAAAACAAAAAAAAAAAATTAATTAAAATAGCCAAAGAAAAAAAGAGAAGAGATGGAACAGAAAATTGTCAAAACTTGTGCTACGCACAATGTCCTTAAAATATATTCGTTGTCTCCCACGGTGCTAGTAGCGTTGCAACGATCGTTTCCCATGACACGATGACTACGAACAATTGTTGAGCACTCAACAAATTGTTTTGTCGAACGGAAACGAGTAAGAACACTTTAGGATTTTTTGAGACTTGATGTGTTTTTTTAGCTCAAGAGTACACGCAGATTGTATATGAGTGTGTGTGTTGTTGCAAAGCACCTGCCAGCTATTTATAGGAAGGATTTGTTGTGTGTTAATGGAGACTTAATGGACCTGAACGTTGGACAACAATGACCAGACCGATGGACATTGATTCGTCCATGAACTATCCATTTAACACTGCAGAACAGTGGATATTTATTGCTCGTAACGTTTTAGAAGAGTCTTGGCCGGAGCCTTCTGATTCGGATGAGAAGCGTGTTGATCAGAAGCCTTCTTATGCGGAGCTTTCTGGTCCGAGCAATCTGATGCGGAAAGTGGGT